CAGAGGTAGTAAAAGTTAAAAAGTATTATACGATGAGAAAGATTCTTAGCTCAATCTTTTGATACTAGTTCAAATTGAGATAACATTTCACACCACCTCCTTCAAATTTCACGCCATGATTGAGCTAGATAATGTGCAACACAGTTTTGGAGTGTCTATTGAACAACTTTTTGTATCCCACCTCTCCTATAAAACTTGATTAAAATTAACTTGTACGTATAATAATAAAGTGAAAATTGTATAATTGAAATTTATGCAAAAAAGAGAGATCATGGTTATCGGTTAACAATTGTCAAAAAATTTATGCAAAAAAGAGAGATCATAAGGAGTGTTTGAAACTGCTTTTGCTTCTCTTTTAAATCAGAAATAGAATCAGAATCAATTTTTAGAAGTTGCTCTCTTTCATCTTCTAAAAAAACTGTTTCTAGGATTAAATTAAAGCACCAGAAGTACTTCTGCATTTTGATCCAAAGTTCCAAACGTTCCAACTTCTGATTCTGCTATCTGAAGGAGTAGAAGTAATTTCAAGAATCAGATCCAAACACATGTACTAAAGTTAAGAAATGCTTTTAGGAATAATAATAATTTGATATTAGTTTAACATTGAAGTATTGAACAGATATTATACTCCCTCCGTCCCTTAAAACTTTATCAACTTTCCTTTTTTGGATGTTTCATTAACTTTGTCACTTTCTCTTATAAGTAAAGAATTTATAGTTCCGGTTAATTCTTTCTCCTCTACACAAACCTCAACCACATAGTTTTTACTTTATTAATCCTCGTGCCGATCAAACTTGCAAAGTTTTAACGGATGGGGATAGTAAGAGACTAAAAATGTTCTTACAAAAAAGGGAAAACTATCAAATAAGCCCATGTACTATGTCGAAAAAGTCGATTAGCCCTCGTACTTTACAAACACTCAATTAAGTCCTCGAACTATTAAAAAACTTCCAATTAAGTCCTTTTGGTCAATAAGTAACCGGTTTCCCGGTTAAACGGTGACGACGGCGACAATGTGCTCGAACCCTAGCATCGGCGGCTGCCGGGAAACTGGTTACATTTAACCGGGAAACCGGTTACTTACCGACCGAAAGGGCTTAATTGAACATTTTTTAATAATTTAAAGACTTAATTGAGTGTTTGTAAAGTACGAGAGTCTAATCGACTTTTTCTGTATAGTACGAGTGCTTATTTGATAGTTTTCCCTACAAAAAAAATTTGATATTAGTATGAGTTGGGGAGTCAAATTCTCTAAAGAATATCTCAAAATACCCGTATTTATTGTTTGTTATTACCATATGATGACACTTCACCAAACTGTCTTAGATTGAAACGCCTTCCCACCCGCGAGGGAGTGAGTCGGACGGAGAATATCCACCAATTTCCGCCGCGATAATTTCTCACCATCCGCCATCTTCATCATCTCATTTCTCATTCCCACTTTGTTCTATATAAACGCATTCTATAAGCTTCCATCCACACACATTCACACTCAGTGAGAAACAGAGCAGTTATGGGATCCGAGTTGTTCTTTCGAGGTCAGGAGTCACTGCCGGTGGCCGACGACTACACCCCTAAGCCGGCGAAACCGTGGTTAGGTATCAACAGGCCGATCAGTTACATGTTCCGTGAGCAGCGCCTGGTTTGCCTTCTTGCCGGCATGGCCATCTCCACCTTCGTCTTCGCCCTGCGTCCGTCGTCAAATCCTCCGTACAGCCCTGGCTATGAAGCGATCTCGGCCTCCCAATTCGACTCCCGATCGGTTCAGCCGCACCAGTTCATGTATCAGAAGGGCATTGGCTTCGGGGCGGTGCATTCTGGCGGGAAGGTCCCGCTGGGCCTTCAACGGAAGGGTTTGAGGATCGTCGTGACCGGCGGGGCAGGTTTCGTCGGCAGCCATCTGGTGGACCGTCTCATCGCGAGAGGCGACAGCGTTATCGTCGTCGACAACTTTTTCACCGGCCGTAAGGAGAATGTGATGCATCATTTTGGTAACCCAAGGTTCGAACTCATCCGACACGACGTCGTTGAGCCGCTCCTGTTGGAGGTTGACCAGATCTATCACCTTGCTTGCCCAGCGTCACCCGTTCACTACAAGCACAATCCCGTCAAGACTATCATATCCTTTTTTGATTCCTTTTGCAATCATTTTTCTAGTTTCCTGCTTAGCTCTTCGATTGGTTAGTAATTGAAATCCTTAATTCTGTTTTTGGTTTTGGGGAGCTTCACAAGACAAATGTGGTAGGGACTTTGAACATGCTGGGATTGGCCAAGAGAGTGGGCGCGCGTTTTCTGCTAACAAGTACCAGTGAGGTTTACGGTGATCCTTTGGAGCACCCTCAGAAGGAAACTTACTGGGGAAATGTCAATCCTATTGGTGACTTGTTGATCATATCTTATGAATTTGTGGTGGAACATGCTGTTCATTCATTACGAATTCACTATTGATTCATTACAGGGGTCAGGAGCTGTTATGATGAAGGAAAGCGGACAGCAGAAACACTAACCATGGACTACCACAGAGGTGCTGGTGTTGAGGTCAGATTAGCTTGCTTATGATTGAAAATTCAAACATCTGCTAAAATGCTATTGAATTATATTGATATGATGTACTGTGTACTGTTGATGGTTATGATGAAATGATTGCATAAGATGTTAAGGCTCTCTTGACTTCCTGAATCAAATTAAAACAAAACTATCTGATTTTCCAGGTAAGGATTGCTCGGATATTCAACACATACGGTCCACGAATGTGCATTGACGATGGCCGTGTTGTCAGCAACTTTGTTGCTCAGGTGATTCTGATGCTCAATTACCTATAGTTATTGACTTTCTAAAGATCATTTTGTAGCTGACCTTGGACATATGGATTGATTAACTGTACAGGCGTTAAGGAAGGAACCAATGACGGTTTATGGTGATGGAAAGCAGACTAGAAGCTTCCAATTTGTTTCAGATTTGGTAAGTCATATATGTAATAGAACGATTTCTATCTATCGAGCTTTGTACAGTATGTTATATTATCAATTGCCTCGTTTTTTACACAAAAAGATATCTACAGAGTATTTCGGTTTGATGATGTTGAAAGTGTTTCCTATTGTTGCCATAATGACATTTCTTGTGGTTTTGTTGTATATGAGTTTTTGGCCCATTGACCTTTTGTGGGATAAATTATGTGGGTATTGAATCTCTCTAGAGAGGAAATTAAGTCAGAAAAGGTTATGGTTCCATTTCATATAATTAGAATGACACTCCAAGTCCCCAGCCCTTGTCTGAAATTTTCTGGGATAGAAAAGCCTTTGCCATCAAGAGTAGCTAAACCCCCAAAAGGAGCAAAAGGCAAACAAGCATTGAGAAGTGTGCCTATGAAAAAATAAGTCGTATTTAATGGATCCATATAATATTGGTTGTCTTACGTGCAGGTTGAGGGCCTGATGCGCTTGATGGAAGGAGATCATGTTGGACCTTTTAACCTTGGAAACCCTGGTGAATTCACAATGCTTGAACTTGCTAAGGTAATTTGGATATGTTTTTGTTGTTGTATAAAATGATATGAAACTTTATATTTAAAAACAAGATTATGAAAATTGGAGAGAGTGGAACTAACAAAACACTCAAATCAAAGAACAAAGGGCCTTTTATTTACTCTTAACTACACTCAACCGGAGAGAGTGGAACATTTGACTTATAATAGGGTGTTTTGGAGCCCAAAACACCCCTAATGAAGAAAAAGTTTTTTAGTTGTATGGTTGGTTGGTTCACGGACTTAGAATTATATATTCATTAAAGCTTTCTTTCTGTGCAGGTCGTACAGGAAACCATAGACGCAAATGCTCAAATAGAGTTCAGGCCCAACACGGAGGATGACCCGCACATGAGGAAGCCTGACATCTCGAAGGCCAAAGACATGCTTGGGTGGGAACCTAAAGTGCCTCTTAGGAAGGGTCTGCCAATGATGGTTCAAGACTTCAGGCAAAGGATCTTTGGTGACCAAAAAGATGATACTCGCTCATCCAGTTCTACAGAATAATTTGCTAATTCATTCTTAACAAATATGCCCAACATCTTTTTCCTACTGCTGCCTGTTTCAACAGAGTAGATCTTTGAGCCTTACCTCGTCCATTGAACACATATTTTTGAGCTACCAATTATTTCCTATCATTATTGTTATGACCATTTTATTTTTGGTTCATTCATTTACCACATTTGGGGTATGTGTCTTGATATACAACAAGCATATTATTGTTTGAACAGCAGCTGTACGCCTTTATGCCATCTATTTTCCTTTATACTTCGTATTATTACTCTTATATCATTTCCTCTTTGAATTCTCCAATTGCCCAAGCACTAAAAATCTAATCTAAAATGCAAGATAAAGAGCATATAAGACTGTTCAAACCGGATCAGACCAAATCAATTCAAGACCGGACTTGGGCCATAGTAAATAAACATAATAACATACACTATCTTATCAAATCAGTTTAAACTGAAACAAATTTGATCATACTAGATCAGAACAAAATAATTCACTCCCATCAAACGAAGCCTAAATATACATTTTACGACATGTCAAGGAAAAACACAACTTGAGATTGAATATGATATAATTTTGGTTATAACTTCTCGAGAATTCCACAAAATTACCATGGAACTAATTTACATTACTACGTAATTTACAATATACTCGTCCAATTAATTTGAAGCGCATCAGTGTCATCAGCTATTCGGTTGAAACAGTTCAATCTGCTACATTTTATGAAAGGAGTAGCTCTTTAATGTGACTTTTTACTTATTGTGTGAATAAGCAAAATAAGGCAAATACGGCTACCAAACTGAGCCTTAGTGCATGTTTGTTACGCTTCTTTTTTTTATATTACTGAAATAACTTGGTGAACCTTTCTATAAAGAGGGGCGTTTGGTATTTTTAAAGAATCATACTAACAAACAGAACAACAAACTAAGCAATACAAAGCTTAAATATGTTCGGTTCTTTTTGTTAGGTCAGCTACAAAAGCGCTCATTGCGTAAAACTAAAATAACTTCATTTTACCCAAAAGTCAAAACAAAGAAATTTAACTTCATTTCATATACCCTCAAATTCTGCAATTGTCCAGCTATAGCAGGGAGATTGGAGAAGCTCCTCAATGACTGTTCATAAAGTTTACAAAATACACCACTATAGCCAAAGAAACCACAAATTGGAGAAAACAAAAGCAGCTACTCATACATACGAAGAGCAATTATAATCAAGAGTTATTATTTTCTTGCGAACGCAGCGTTCATCTTAGGCTAAAGATTCCATTAATTTCAAACCACATTCATCAAATCATAATATATCCACTTCAAGATACTGCAGCTCCTGTACATACGGTGGCCGGAGCAGTACTGTTTTGTCTGGCAGAGCTGTATTTCTTGGTAATGAACCTGATAAAAAGCAAACCAAACATTGCATTGCATCGATATGTAGAATTACAAAAGGCAAATATGATGGAAACAGTGTGCGAGGAATTAGGCCTCTTTGGCCCATTACTGATCAGAGATCACATGGAATCAATCACCCTACAAAATTAGGGTGATGGTTTTTAGTTGACAATTCAGGCGGTGGGCGTGCAGACTTTGGAGGGCTTAGAACTTTTGGACCGACTACACAGTTACTACAACCATTCGTAAGATTCAACTAATGTCAGTGTAGTGGCTGTAAAGGTACCAGAGTACCAGACTACCAGTATGGTCAATGCGTAGTAAAAGTCACATTTTGTCTATTTCTTAGTTATTTCTCATTATTTCTTATATGATCCACCTGTTACAGTGTTATGTTATTAAGTTATTTACTAAATTTTAATTAGAAGTCAAAGAAACATCATGATATAGAGTATACACTTGGCTTTTTAAAACAACCAACTGACCCTTTGCCAACACTTTCTCCCCTTCATATTGAGGGATAAAATAGCAGTTTCTCAGTGTTAGTCTTTGATTGGATGATAATATTGTGTAGGTGGGAAAAAAGCCTGAACTAAGGCTTTGTTCATCAGCATTATTATTTTTATTTGAAAACTAAAAACACAAATCTGAAAATCAGAAAAAGTTGTTATCATTTTTTATAGCTTTCAAAATTAACATGATTACTACAAGTACAATGATTTTTTAGTTCCTTATACAACGTATATCATATACCTTTTACAATCTCAAAACAAAAATGGAAACAGGTAACAATAACATACGGCCCTAGGTTTTTTGTGCATGTGGGGTAAGCACTATATTAGACCCTTTGTCCTATAAAACTTGGCCAAAGTTGACTTGCACTTAGAATAATAAATTAAAAGCTGTGTGGTTGATATTTGGACAAAGGAGGAGAAAGAAATAACTTTAGCCACATATTTGTTAGTTTAAATGGAAATGGCAAAGTTTTTTGGGACAGCCAAAAAAGGAAAGTTGGCCTAGTTTAATGGGGCGGAGGTAGTACATGGAATAAATAATTTCTGATAGAATATTTTGACAATAAACAACTTATTTTCAACCACCAAACACATCAGCATTAGCTTGTAGATTCAATATAATATCCATAATGGAGGAAAAGTGGATACACGTCTATGTCCAAGTTCAAAGGAGCTCAAAGTGCATGATGCAATATCGTTACCTGAAGAAATCTCTCCACATCAGCTCATACATCAACCAGTTTACGCCAGTGCCGCCATTACCGCCATCTTTCATGTTAGATGCAACAGAAAGTTTTCTGCTGATCATATAGTAAGTAATGGTCCATTATAAACACAAAGTCTGATGTTTTATGGAAAACAAAAACAAACTGTTCATCTAGCTGGCAACATACCTTGATGTGGACTTCTTTAATTCATCAAACATGGAGCGGGGGGAGAGGCATCCCATTGCAAGCCAAGGAGATATTTTGCAGGAGAAGTTTGCACCGTATATACTATCATGGTTGTTCCCTTCGTGTGGGGGTGGTTGAGCTTCGCATTCAGCACAAAATTTCTTAAGTCTCTGAAATGCTTCAGTTTCCCCTCCAGAAAGGGAAGCATTAGCAGAAGGCTTTCCATTCTGCATTTGGAAATTCATTCAAATCACAAAAGTATAAGAAAAGAACCTTTCTACAGCCAAAATCATACTAACAAAACAATGACACAAGAAGTCTGTGACTCCTTCCAGAAACCAATCGTAGACACTTATTGTCTTAAACAGATACTAGCCGTACAACGTACTCTCTATATCCCAAACTAAAGATCTTAATTGTTTTTGCATGTTTTTTTAAACAAACATAAGGTATTTGGTCAAACAATTAAAGGATATACTTGAAAAAGAAGAATGTCACTGAAGTTTAAAGAGGAATGTAAGACTTATAAAATGGTACAAAGAGTAATTGAAGTACAAGAACCCACTAATTCTAATTTTATCAATTTGACCCTGAGTCCCTGACTAATACCTGCCTATGTTCTAAGTTCTAACTACCCCAGCAAGACCATGTCTGAAAGCTAGACCTAGTTTGCCCCACGGATAGATATTGTTTTACAACTACAACCAAAAGATGATATTGTACAACACTCTATTGTGCAACAACCCTTGTATAGCCAACTCCTGATTTTTCTTTTATCAATCTTCCCTGAGTAATCCTTCATAGGCTTGGACACGGACCGGTCCAATTCCGATCCGGGAACTGAAAGTTCCAAGATCCAGGAATGGGGAAATTAACTGGCTGGTTCCAATCGGCTACCGGTTCCGGTTTAATTCTCGGGATGTAATCGAAAAAACTTATAGCTTGTACCCAGAACTTCCAGTTCTAGTACCCAAAACCAGGCATCAGATCTAGACCCATTTCTACGGCACGGTTCCAGGTTACACATTTCTTGTATCTGATTAACTTCAACTACATTCTAGACCCTAGTTTGACACTTTTTAGCCTTTTAGGGCCTGTTTGGATGAAGTGTTGAAAGGTGATAGTAATGGAAGTGTTAGCAGGTATGTGTAAGTGTAAAACATAAACTTACCTTGTTTGGAAGTGCATAAAAATGGAGTGCTAATAAAAGAAGTGTTTTTGTACAAATTGACAAAAATATCCTTATACTTTTTTAAATAATTATTTGTATGCTAGCGGCAAAATTAATCTTCTCCTTCCTTCGGTAAAAGTTACCCAGTCCAATTTGAATAGCCATTCTCTTTGCCTGCTTCGGTTTTGTCACTTCCCATAGTCGGCCTCTTCAATTCAATGGAATAAGTAATTTTCCGACTTTCACATTTACCCAATTTAATAGGATTTTTAATACGATGGATTATAGTAAGAAGTTGAATATTCCTCATATGCTAATAAATCTATATCATGCCTTTTGAAATTCCTGATATGCTTGTACGAAGGAATAATGGAGTGGGACATATGAGATAACCAGCTTGAGAAGAGAAGAACAGCAGATCCACTTGACCGATGAGACGATGAGCACAGCACCAGAAAGAAAGTGAGGATTTATTTTTTCATGTAAATGAAGGGTAGCATGTGTCTAACACTTCCTTACACCCCAAATTGGGGTGTTGAAAATGTGGGCAATTGAGGTGTTGAGAAGGTTATTCCACTTTCTAATACTTACTAACACCCTTATTTTTTTAAAATTTCACATCCAAACAGGTGTTAACCTCAACACTCCTAAACACTTCCTTTACTAACATCTCCTAACACTCAATCCAAACAGGCCGTTAGGGCCCTAGCCTTATTTACAACATTATAGCAGCAAATGAAATGAACTCAGTATTGATTCCTAGTTACCTTAAGACACACAAAAAAGAAGGCTTTTTTGAAAGGGAGCTATCAAAAGAATCAAGATAAAAGTGTGTATAACCTGGTTCAAAGTAGCACTAGGATTGAGACCCAAATCAGAAAGAGTAGGAATTTCACCAGTCTCAACATCCCCTCTACTTGGCATTCCCCTCAACTGATCCAGTGCTTCAATGGTATTCCTAACCTCCAAGCTCTTGACTTTTTCCTTAAATCCGCCATAATTTGTTGGCATTTCCTCCAGCTTAAATGGCAAATCATCAACATGATATAATGTGCTTCCCCAAAAGAACTTCACATCAATCCCCTCATCCTTCATCAAACTCTCAATCTTTTCCTCAGCCTTGACCTCATCGTGTGAAATCTCCCGGTGAGCATACACAGCATCTGCCCCGACTGCCTTAGCCAGCTCGACCAGAACGGTCTCTGGCTTCCCAACTCTGACCACAAGATTAGACCCTCGAGCCTGAAGGTTCTTCCGGAGGTCCGAAACTGACTCAATCACGAACGAGGCCCTGTATGGACCAGTCTTGTCGAACCCAGATGATGACTTCCCGTAATCTCTTGGGTCAAAACAGTAAACTGGCAAAACCGACATGGATTCATTGTTGGCGGAGTTGAGGCACTCGTTGTCGTGCACCCGGAGATCGTTCCGGAACCAAACGATGGTTGACCGGCGAGCGGCGGCGCCACCGGATGGCTCGGAAGGGCGGAGAGGGTTCAAGGAGAGAGGGCTCTGTAGTGGGTTTGCGGAAACGGTGGATTTCAAGAGTGGCTTTGCGGGCGAGAGAGGGGCGGTGAGGGTGAGGCGGGAGAGAGAAGAGATTTGGGTTGGGATTTTGATATTGCCGGGTTGGACGAAGAATTTGGGCGGGTTTAGGAAGTGGGTAGGAAGGATTGTGGACAGAGATAGGGAGATTGATGCAATGGGAAGAGAAGGAGGAGGTGAAGCAATGGCTGCTACTGCAGACTGGATCTGCTGCTCTTCTGCTTCTTGGGTTCCTTCTTGGGATAGATGATTTCTTATGGGATCCATTTTCAGCAACTGCTGTTGTTGGAAGAACGAAAGCTTCAAATTGGAGGAGGGATTTATAGTTCCTAAAGGTTGAATCGCCAACCCCAAGCGCCCCCCACGCCCCGACCCGACAGAGCACATGGGAGGAGGGATTTATGATGATAAGGAAGGAGAGAGGGGTTGGTGGCTTCCCTTCCAAATAATGTTTCACGGGTGGTTGGTTGGGGCCTATGTAGCACCAATACCGGTACGGGAAACGCGGAAACGGGTACGGGGATACGTCAAAATCAAAAAAAGTAAGATACGGATACGGGGCCATATTTATAAATATTAAAAGTTATGGGGATGTATTTACAAATATTAAAAATTATAGGGGTCTATTTATAAATATTAAAAATAGATTTTTTTGAATATATATATATATATATACACACATATAATATCCTTTGATGTCTACCCATTCATTGCATTGAAGCATTTTCCTTTTTCAAGATACTTAGTAATAAATTCATAATATTTCTCATATACACTAGTGTATCTCGAAATATAAATGTAGTCAATAAGTCATTAATTTAAAATGTGAAATAAGTCAAACAACTACAATCTTGAAATTAAAAGTGCAAGTACCCACTTCGGAGTATGAGTTAATGACTTAATTCGGATATAGCCATATAGGCCCATTATTTGATAACCAAGTAAAATGTAGTTTTAGATTTTCATTTTTTTTTTTTGGAATTTTATTAAGTAAATTTTGGGATTTTTAAAAAAAAAATGGTTGATACGGGTATCCGTCAGGATACGAGTATCAGAAACTTTCAAAAAATTACAAAAAAAATGGAAACTTTTAAAAATTGCAGATACGGCCCGGGAACGTACGGTACGGGTATCCTAGAGTATCGGATACGGGAACGTATCCAATACGCCGATACGCTACCCTAGGAAAGTATCTGTGCTTCATAGGTTGGGGCTTGTGTGTCTTCCAATGTGGGCTTGTATGGTACAATGACATGTTTGTTTGAGGGTTAATCTAGATTATTGAAGGTTTAATTTTTAGTTAACTTCATTTCTTTGTATTTTTACAAAAAGAATCTAGGTTATGTGTTAATCTCCCTTAGTCTCTGACAACCTGGAAAATCTTAAATTAAAGAACCTAGAGTACCTTCATTCAAACAACTTTTATTACATTAATCTAGGTTCACCTTCTATATTTCCAAAAACTATTTTACGTATGGACCTAGATTCACTTAGGTTAATCTAGTTTTTATTAAAACTTAGGTTTACTTTATTGCAGTACATTTACTTAACTTCACTCTATCCAAACAGAGCATAGTGGTACTGTGGTTTGAGAGAGGGATGTTGTTGACTTTTTCACGTTTATGTTTATTTAAAAAAAATGTTCTACCCATATTTAACACAAAATTTATGAAAAAAATGTACTCGGATTCTTAAAAATGTTAATGAAATTTATTTAGAATTATAACACAATTTAGGTGTTTGAGTGTTTCCAATATGGATTTTAATGGAATGTGTAAAATTTGTCAAACATTTCATTGATTTCATTTATTATTTATTCAAATGAATTTTAAATGATTTTGATAGAATTATAGAGTTTTTTTCCGTATTAATGCTAATTAATTACGTATTTACGAAAATAGGGTTGAGTTAAAAGTATTTACGGACATACTGTTGGGCTTAACCCTGGTCGGGGTAAGTCGTCATCCGGTTTGGTGACTTACCCATAGATTAAAGCACCGGGTTAAGTTATAAAAAAAAAGTACAAAAAAAAAATCTCAAGGTTAAGACCATTTTTCTCAAACTCCAAGCTACATTTCAAGGTCCAGGAATTTGCAGAAAATTTCAATCAACCTCGAGAACCCCTCAGTCCAGTAACGAGAAAGAAAGTTTAAAAAAATAGGGGCAAAATTGTCTTTTGAGACCCTCTGAATTTTACGACTATCGTGTCCGCAGGTCGCCCGCGCAGGGGGGTTGCAAATTTTTTATTATGAACTAGAAGCCGGAATTCTTGTGTGTGCGAGAGCTCCCATTTTCTCATTCACCTTTTAATACTAAGTGAAGAATGTTTCATATTTATAGGCTCAAAAGTTCCCAAGGAGTTTAGGTGTGGGAAAATTTAAAAGATTCGTTTTTCTCTTATACTTGAGAAGAACATTTTTTCCATCTACCTTCTTTAAGAGCTAGTTTTTGAGCCACTTCAAACTTCAAAGTCCAAAACTCCAACATCAAAGGTCAACCTTTGGTGTTGACCTTGAGATTAAAAAAAAATCTCAAGGTTAAGACTATTTTTTTCAAACTCCAAGCTACATTTCAAGGTCCAGGAATTTGCAGAAAATTTCAATCAACCTCATGTCTACGATCAACATTCAACAATCAGCAATGGAAGTCTCTAACTCATCAATGTGTAACAACAAATGCGCTAAAGTTTCTGATGAGTCTGAGATAAGCAAATCTGACAGTCAACCTTGAGATTTTTTTTTTTAATCTCAAGGTTGACTCTTGGAAACTTTGATTGTAGTGTTGACCTTTGGTGTTGGAGTTTTGGACTTTGAAGTTTGAAGTGGCTCAAAAACTAGCTCTTAAAGAAGGTAGATGGAAAAATGCTCTTCTCAAGTATAGGAGAAAAATGAATCTTTTAAACTTTCCCACAAATAAACTCCTTATGGACTTCCGGACTTTTGAGCCTATAAATATGAACCACAATTCACTTAGTATTAAAAGGTGAATGAGAAAATGGGAGCTCTTGCGCACACAAGAATTCCCGGCTTCTAGTTCAGAATCGAAAATTTGCACCCCTTGCGCGGGCGACTTGCGGACACGTTAGTCGTAAAATTCAGTGGGTCTCAAAAGACAATTTTGCCCCTCTTTTTTTTTAACTTTCTTTCTCAATATTGGACCGGACTGGTGGGTTCTTGAGGTTCATAATGCCTTCTTGAGGTTTGCGTTCTGTGGCGTAGCTTAACCCAGCTTTAATTTATGGGTAAGTCGCCAAACGGTTTGACGACTTACCACGACCAAGGTTAAGCCCAGCAATATATCCGTAAATATTTTTAATACAATCCTATTTTCATAAATACTTAATTAATTAGCATTAATACGGAAAAATAACTAGAATTATACGCATAAGAAATTCCACACCAATCCCTAGTCCACGTCAAATCTGGACGCCTGCACTAAAGAAATACTCTGTAGGAAATTGAGCATAGTTTCACATCCGCCGGCTGGATTGTTACTGCTACTCATTGTTTCCCACTATCCATAGCTGATAGCTGAGTTCCCTAAAGCACATATTATATTTTAAGGTTGGAGATGAAATTTCCAGATTTGAATGTATTTTTATAAAAGTTTTTTGTAGGATCTGGTTTTTGCTAAAGAAGAATCTTAGAATTTGACTTTTGCAGAGCAAGTTGAGCTGCAAGGAAATTGTCCGAATTCAAATTTACTGGCAGTGCACGTCGGAAGGGAGATAAACCCATCTCATTTCACTACTTTGTGTTATATCTTGACGGAAAATTGATTATTTTATTTATTTTATTAAAATATAGTGATTGTGTATTTGTGTTCAATAGAAGTAAAATGGGGGTTTATAACATACCCTATGCATTTTTGGAAAGTAAGAAACTGTTTTCTTCGCCTGATCTGAATGTTTCTGATCTGAATTTTTTAAGTTCTGATCTGATCTGATCTGAATTTTTCTGATCTGATCTGATCTGATCTGAATCTTTCTGATCTGAATTTTTCTGATCTGATCTGATCTGATCTGAATCTTCCTGATCTGATCTGAATATTTATGATCTGGTCTGATCTGATCTGAATGTTTCTGATCTGATCTGAATCCTTCTGATCTGATCTGAATCTTTCTGATCTGATCTGATTTGAATATTTGTATTATTATAATTATAATTATAATTATAATTATTATAATTGCAATTACAAATATAACTTAAATAAAATTATAATTATAATCGTAACTATAAAAATAATAAAAATAATTATAATTAAATTTAAAATGAAAAAATTTATACATATTACACTAATTATAAATATAGATATAATTATAATTGTAATTATATTTTTAATTATAATTACTTATATAATTATAATTGTAATTAGAATTACAATATTTATCTCTATAATTGAAACTATAGTTATCAATATTATTATAATTGCTCCGTAAAATAATTACAATAGTAACAAAAATAATAATAATATTAATAATTATAATAAAACTAATAATTATAATCATAAATTATAACTATAATATAATTATAAGTATATTTATAATTAACAATAATTATAATTAGATTAAAATTAATTATAATATTATAATATAATAATAGTAATATAAATACAATTAATATTATTATAACGATATTATTATATTAATATTATTATTACAATAACATAATAATATTATTATTATTATTATTATTAGTATTATATTATTATAATATTATATTATAATTATAATCATAATTATAATTATGATTGTAATTATAATTATTATAATTATAATTAATTACAATTATAATTATAATTAATTATAGATATAATTATAATAATTACAATTGATATACTTATAATTATAAGAATTATAATTGTAAGTATAATTATAATTACATATAATTATAATATAATATTATAATAATATTAATCATATTATTATTATTATAATATTGTAATAATAATAATAGTATTTTTAATAATTGCATTTATATTACTATTATTATATTAAAATATTATAACTATATTAATATCTTATTTTTTAAAATATTATTATTAATATTATTAATAATATTTATATAATAATAATCATAATAGTAATAACAATATTAATAATAATAATAATTAATATAATAATAAAAGTGATAAATCATTTTTGAACTTTTCTGATCTGATCTGAATGTTTCTGATCTGGTCTGATCTGATCTGAATGTTTCTGATCTGATCTGATCTGATCTGAATCTTTCTGATCTGATCTGATCTGATCTGAATTTTTCTGATTTGATCTGATCTGATCTGAATTTTTCTGATCTGATCTGATCTGATCTGAATAAAATAAGAATAAGCAATAAGTAATAAGAATAAGACGAACAGAACAGCTTCTAATTCGGAGTATGCATTTTCATTAACATAGTAAAAATTATTAGGTGTGGGTGTCTCAAGTATAGCTAAATG